ACGAGATACCTTTTCACAATGCTTTACTTTTTCAAGGCCCGTGCTGCTTTATTTTTACAAGGCCTGAGGCCTATATCGGGTAAAGGCCCTTTTACAATGATCAAAAGACTCACACATTAGACAAAGGTAGAAGAGAAGAGAACCGAGTTACACAGCTTATATGATCAAAAATATGTTTACAAAGAGTTCCATAGTTCCCTGAATCCAGCACTCGTCAGCGCAATGCAAATCCCTCATCAATTCATCACTGTGACTTCAACTCATCAGCGCCACCTCTTCAGTTCTTATCCAACTCAGGTAAGTATCCTTCATAGCCGAACTTTGATTGAACGCTCTCTGTCTCAGTCCCTTCCTCCTACGATGCATACACACTCTTCTCTCATAAGGATCTACTCTGAATGCTACTCATAGCTATCTACCACTAACCCTCTAAGTCTATACTAACTCGCTGGGCAGCTATGGCTGCATCTCACTCCAGCGGACAGTCTTCCCTCACATAGCGCATCTTCATCCTCCAGCGCTGCTCCTCCTGACTGGTGCACAAGTGCCTCAGCACTTCCACGCACAGAATGCCTGTGGAGATCTGGCGAGAAATGAGGCTGGCTGCTCCTTTTATAATGCTGGCCTCCTCTCATTGGGTCTGCATTGACTCATTCAGGCCTTCCTTTGTCCCAGACCCTGCATTGCATGTGTCCCAGTACCTGTCCCAGTGAAGTCAACTGCTGCGGAGGCCACTCGGCCTAGATTTGGACTTGGACATCTGGATCTGGACTGTCCCCTAGACTTAGACCAGATCGGGGACTCTGTTCATTCACTTGCTTTCGAACAGACACAACTTTGGACGAACAGACACACTTACTGCCTGAACAGACACTCACACAGTGTGAATAGACACTCTCCTTTGCACGAACAGACACACTAACTGCACCTGCAGACACACCCTCATCTGAACAGACATGACATGTGCATCCTTTGGCGAACAGGTATGTCTCTCAGCAATAACCTTTGGCACTGAATTCTAGCTTAGATTTAGATGTGTCCTCTGCTTTCTCGTGTCCTGGGTCCTGGCGAGATACCCCTCCACGCTGCTTTACTTTAATGAGGACTGTATCGGGTATCGGGTAAAGGCCCTTTTAAGAACCACGGCCATGTGCTATGTCTCTTTGTTTTCATAAGTCAAAAGGATAATGGGACCAGGGATCATACCCCTTCGTTTTGCAACAGGCTGCGTGCAATGTGAAGCTGACATCTGGGCGTAGTGCCTTCTTTGTGTATTCGCAGGTCTCATACACGTCGTGGTTTCTTGATGCATTCAACTATGCCATTGCCACGAAGATGAATGTCCTCAATTTGAGCATTGGTGGTCCGGATTACATGGACCGTCCGTTTGTTGAGAAGGTAATTTGTGGAACCTTGTACTGTGCTGTGCTACGCCAGTGTATGTGTGAGACTCCTGATTGTTGAAAGATCCTGGTAATTGGTGGTGTAACTGGTGTTATCAAATGTAGCTTGTTTTGGAGCTCATCAAATGTTCAACCCAGGAATTCAGCACAACCTTGCTAGCTATTACTTGGGGCTTTGTTGCTCAACTTTCCCATTGCCCTCCCTGTAGTGAAATGGTTTTCACCTCCGCAGTAGCGAATGCAGATCCCAGGGCTCGATCCCTATACCTCACTTACCTGTACCCCTGTGTGTTTGAACCCGTGACCTGCGTCTTAGGAGGCTGCTGTTGTCCGTCGTAGGCCCATCGGGTCTTGAACTGTAGTCCTGTCAAGTAGGGGTCAAGTTTGTGGCAGAGGTCGTAGCTGTAGTAGTTCTGAAGGGTGAAGGTCGTAGCTGCTACAGTCCTGAAAGGTCAAGGTCGTAGCTGCTACAGTGTCGAAAGGCAAGTCCACAGACTTCCGGAAAGTCCGGAAGTGGCCTTTCAAACGTGTCCACAGTAGACCAGAGGCAAGTGGGCAAGTGGTGAGTCTAACTTCGCTGAGTCAGCAGTGCCCAGTCCCAGTCTCACTTTGTACAGTCAGCAAGTACCATGAGGGACTGTGTGCACCAAGGGCCCGGTGGAACAGGGGCAGACCAACGAGTTACAGAAGTATAAATCAAGAGGCAGCATCCAGCTATTCATTCATTCCTGCGTAAGCCATGCGGAAGCGCTGCCTGAGCGACTTGTGCGAGGTGGTCTGGAGAGTGCTCGAAGACGGAGTGGGCTGACGGAGATAGTTGGCCATATCTTTACAGGGTTAGCGGCCATAGCCACCATAGCCGATAGGCGAGTGTGTGAGTACAAGAGCGTGTGTTTTCATGTGGGATATCCATGGGATCCAGAGTTGAGTACGTGCGAACAGTGGGTGGACAGTGAGACGAGAGTTGGCATGTACAGGCGCTGATGCGCCATAGTCTGTCGAAGCGAGTTTGTATCTGAACTGTGTTTTCGACTTCCATATCTTTGAGCTTTGAGTGGGCGCTGTGCGCCAGCGTGATTCACCATCTGTTTGCATCAGTGCGATGTGGAAAAGAAAGCGAGTCTGATTGCATTGGTATCGGAGCTGGTACCCACTATCGCACGTGCCGTCGTTGTCCGCGGTATGTTGAAGTTGGGTGCCATAGCCGAAGTGCGCCATAGCTGAAGTTACCATCGCTGCAGAAGAGTCCGCCATAGCTGCGCTGGTGGAGGAAGGTGTTGCGTACCTGCAAAGAAGACAACGACAAAGAGAGAGAGAGAGAGAGAGAGAGAGAGAGAGAGAGAGAGAGAGAGAGAGAGAGAGGAGCGATACAAGATTGGTTGTGCAGTCCAAGAAAGAAGAAGGCGGCCATATCCGCGGAGCTCGGACACAGGGGAGAAGAAAGAAGACGAGTAAGAGAGGAAAGAAGACGAACGAGAGAGGAGGGAGAGACCAAGAAGTGAGAAGAAGCCATAGTTGAGGACGAGGAAAGAGGGATACGAAGAGGAAGGAAGACCTAGCCAGGGTGAGGAGAGAAAGAAGCGGGGAAGAAGAAAGGAAGGGGAAGGAGAAGTGAGGGTGCGAGAGTGAGGAAGTGTCGGCAGACATAGCCAAGTTGAAGGTTGACCAAGGTGTTGACCAAGGGGTTGACAGAAGCTGGTTTTGGTGTTGACTCGGACGTTGACCAAGGTTGACTAGAGCGTTGACCGAGGGTTTGACCAGCATTGACCAGCGTTGACCAAGACGTTGACCACGATTCTGACCAAGCTGGAGTTGGTATATTCTCGCCAAACCCTCAGCCTATCCCCTTGCCCTATGAATGTGCACTCATCCTATGGTACTTGCTGAGTCTGTCTGTCTCTTCTTTCTGCATTGAGTCTCTTCTGTCCAGGTGATAGGAACTCTGTGTATGAAGGATAGAGCCTTGTTGACCAAACCCACACGGGCTGAGTAGGGCTAAAGGCCGTGACTGACGACTCGACTGACCCGAAAGACACGAACCCTCCCAAGGACTGGTACTAACCGGCGGGCTGCTCAGTGTGGCATGGTAGGCCCAAAATCCGAAATGTGGGCTGCACAACAGGCTGTCTAAGTCTTGTGAGGACTTGCTGATCGCGTCGTCCTGTCTGCGACGGTAAATAATTCTTGAGGAGTTACAGGGGATCTCCTTAAATGCCTCCTGATCAGCAACAAGTCCTGTAGTGACAACCATAGTTTAGGTTCAAGTTAGTGACCTTGGTTGGCAGAATTCCATCAGGATTCTGTGGTCCTTAGATTGAGTCCTAAGTCCAGTTAGTAAGGTGATGAGGTCTAGGTGGTGAGGTTTGGAACTATTGTCTGGTTGTGCACCTATAACCATGGTTGACCTTCGCAGTGGGAAGAGCACCGTGCCCTATAGCAAGGCTCAAGAGGAGCAAATTGTCGCCATCCTAAGAGAGAGGAAGGAGAAGTAGCTCATTAGACAGGCGAAGATGAAGATGATAGCAGAGGAGCAGGCGACGAAGAAGAAGAGGTTAGAGGAGGAGATGAAGAGATTGCAACAAGAGGAGGAAGAGAGAATGAAGGCTGCAGTGGAGGAAGAGATTGAAGAGGAGTCCGAAGATGAGCCCCTCAGAAGAAGAGGCGTGGGGGGAAGAGGGGAGAGCAGTGGCACAAAGGAGGATGACCCGTGGGTAGAGAAGAGGATATCTGAGTGGGTGGCTAATTTATCGTTAGGAGAAGATGAGGAGGCGATGGATGATATATATACCTCAGGAGGAGAAGGAAGCAGCGATTAGGGAGATCGAAGCAACGAGTGATCCCCTAGAGCGCCAGGCCATAGAAAATGAGAAGAGGTTGGATTGGAAGTTGCGCCTGGCGAGAGAGAAGAAGAGGACGGAGGAAGCCAACCGGGTGGCTAGGGAAATGGAAAGTTTACAGACTTGTAGACAGGAAGTAGAGGCCCAACATGATATTCAGGCCAAGTTGGACAAGATCATTGGGAGCATCGAGCTCCTAGGTAGGGCCTGGACTGAGCGTCATCAGTCTGTTAGGGGCCAAGACATGACCCTCCACTCCATCCGGTCCGGTTTTAAAGAATTCGCACGAGATGTGATGACACACGTAGGGACCGAGGTTAGAAAGCTAAAGGAGGGCGCAGAGAAATTCTGCGTCGGCGCCATCAAGGGCACTAAAGTAGCGGCCGCTGCTGAGATGGAAGTGCGTCCCCGCAAACAGCCTGTTAAGCTTAAGTTTCCTGACTCTTATGGCGGGAAAAAGGAGGCATTTCCTTGAGAAGACCCATGATGCCACCATTACGTACGACGGATTACATAGAGAGGTGGTCCTGTTTGAGGCCAAATCCATACCAATGTCCACTTTCTGGCATAAGGATTTAGATAAGGGGAAAAAGTGGAAGGTCGTACCATCTCTAGTCAGGTCAGGGCAAAGGATCATCTGATCCTTACTTTAGATGAGGGTGGTACTGATGAAGTCCCATGCGCTACTGTCTCGGCTGGAGGGAGGCCGTAAAGTAGAGGAGGAGGCCAGGGCCAAGGGGGTCGGGCCATGGGTGGTCGAGGTCCGGGCACACAGGGGGGTGGCGGCCAAAGGAACCGCCAAGAGGGAGGTAGGGGTCAACGTCCCTCGCCGAATCGTTCGGGGCCTAGTCGATCACCACAGCGTAGAGGTGGAGGATCACGATAACGGAGAGGAGGTTGGCACCCAGGTTGGCCACAAGGCTGGCCTTGGGAAGATCTGTGCTTGGACCAGAGAGTGTGGCAGCAGCGAATGGAGCAGGGGCATTGCATCTATTTGCTGCCCAGGGGTCAAATGGCAGTTGTCGGTAGGGGTTGCAACTGCCCTTACCGTTAGGCCATGTGGGGAAGTGTGCCCGCACCACCAGGAAACTCCCACACCACATGAGCCTATGGCAGAGGTTGCAGACCAGCGCCTAGTTAGCTGTCCAGAGATTGCCTGTGTTAGTCTCTCTCTAGGCACTTCCCTCACAGGCCAAGCAGAAGAATTGAAGGAGAGGATGCCGACTTGGGCCAAGATGAAGAAGGAGAGCGAAGGACAACTTGTGTTAGTAGATTTAGAAGTTTTTAGAAGGAGAGTAGGGGCCTTCTACCTGTAGTTATATTAGCCGAAAAGCTCTAAAGAAGCTGAGGCTAGGTCTTAGAGTCCAGAAGTTGGAAGACCCCATAGTCAGTATCCTCGCAGACAACCGCACGATGCGCGTTGAGGATTACGTCGAGGGAGTCCAGGCGTATCTTCGCCTAGAGAAAGATGGCAAGGTGGAGAAAGTCCTCCATTCCTCGACTCTCCTCGCAATGGATAACCTCCCTTTCGATATAGTCCCAGGTATGGACTGGGGAGAGGCAGCAGGGGCCGCTCTCCACTTAAGAGAGCATGAGTGTATATTTAGTCCATCAGGCGAAGTTAAGACTGCTCGCTTGTTTCATGTGTCAGGAGTAGATAACTCCCTGGCACATTGTTGTCTCAGCGCTCCCGCGTTCGCGCAATTAGTAAGGAAGGAGCAGATCTTCGTAGCTTACGTGAGGCCTGTCACTGAGCCTACTGAGGAGAAGCCAATAGACCCAGCTATTGCCATGCTGTTGGATGAGTTCAAAGATTTGGCAGAGCCGCCGACAAGAGTAGTACCGCGACCAATCCAACATCGAATTGAAATAGAGCCTGGCAGTAGAACTCCTAAGGGTGCAGTTTACAAGATGTCCCCAAGGGAGGAGTTGCGTAAGCAACTAGACGAACTCCTCGAAAAGGGTTGGATTAGGCCCAGTTCGTCTCCTTTCGGAGCACCAATTTTGTTTGTCCCCAAAAAGGAGGGAGAGTTGCGTATGCGCATCGATTATAGGGGTCTGAATGCAATTACAGTAAAGAATGCTGAGCCGCTGCCCAAGATAGACGATCTTTTGGATCGGGTGCAGGGCTGTAGATATTTCTCAAAGATAGATCTGA